ATGCAAGATTATACATATTAAAAATATTATCTAAAAATAAATATTTATTTATTAAAAAACATAGTTTATCTATACAAAAGATAAAAACAAAACCATAGATGAATTAAAAAAACATTTCTAAAAATTAAACGCATAACTAAAAATTTAATATTATTTAAAAAAACAAAAAGAAAAAAAGAAAAGAAAAAAGGATTAGACATTGCTATGCTTGGGAAGCTAGGTCAGTCCATCTTTCCTTTTAAAAAAAAAAAAAATTAACGTGTCGTCTGTTTTACCTAAATTTCAGCCGCTATGATGGCAGGAAAATCAAGGCCTATGCTCTTTTGATCCAAAAACCTATTTTTGACCAAAAATATCTATTAAACACCTTAGAAACCATGACAAACCTATTCATGGTCTCAAAAAACTGCTCCAAAAACCAACTTAACCTGAAACCAATAATCAACTCGAGTTCAAATATATTTTTTTCATGTACTTTTAGATACAAAAACACCTAATATAAACTCCCTTCATCAAATGGAATAATTTGATACAAAAATCTCTTATTTTGGTGGCTTAAATTGATATCAACAATAAATTTATTTCTCTATCGCTAGAATTCAGCAACTCTTCTTTCTCTTCTCTCTCAACTAAGGACTAAAAAATAACAAAAATAAGTCTCTATATTAAAATGGAATTGGAACAATTTTGAGGGACCAAAATTATATAATTTAGGTGATTATTTAAGTTGGAGGATCAAAGTATATTTTTTTTAGAATTATGGTACACCAATCTATGTTTGCAGTGTTTTTCATTTTAGCCTTCCTTTTTTAATTCATCATTTTATAAGAATTTAAAATTAATTGCTACTTAAATAAGATTAAATTATTTAAAAAAAATTAAAAAATCAAATTAAAAAAAATACATAAGGATAAAAGCACAATGAAAATCCTATGTGTTTTAGAGTATACTATAACTAGCCCTGTTTCCCTGCACTCAATTGCACAAAGGATTAAAAGTTATTTTGTTAATGTAAAAAAACAAATTATAAGCAATGTTGATTCATTTTTTAGCTTGAGGGAGATAAAAGTTGACTGTGTATTTAATCAAACAAATTGATTGAGTTGATAAAAAAATTGCTTAGAAAATTAAAAATAAGATAAAATATATAAATTACTAATAACTGCACAAAAAAAACTTAATAATTTGATAAATAAGATATATACAAAATGATATTTTTAATATATTTTAGAGTTATTTATTTTCATAAAAATTAATTATAAATAAATAAAATGCATAATGATTCTAATATATAGAAGTCATGCATCTGAGTTTAGGTTACCTAGCATGTCTTATCTAATTAAAGAAAAAGCAACGCACACGTGTGGGTTTCTTGTGCCTGGTTTTTTTTGCTTTGGCAAAAGGAGCGAATGACATTTTTTTTCAAAGAAAAAGAAAAAAAATAAAAGAAAAAAGGATTAGACATTGCTATGCTTGGGAAGCTAGGTCAGTCCATCTTTTTTTAAAAAAAAATTGACGTGTCGTCTATTCTACCTAAATTTCAGCCACTATGATGGCCGGAAAATCAAGACCTATACTCTTTTGACCCAAAAACCTATTTTTGACCAAAAATGTCTATTAAATACCTTAGAAACCATGACAAACCTATTCATGGTTTCAAAAAACTGCTTCAAAAACCAACTTAACCTGAAACCAATAATCAACTCGAGTTCAAATATTTTTTTTTCATGTACTTTTAGATACAAAAACACCTAATATAAACTCTCTTTATCAAATGGAATAATTTGGTACAA